GGGGGGGGTGGGAGAGGCTGGGAATGTTGCCTGACTGCTTGGTGCCTTGCATATTAACGAACAATGGTCACATCCCCTTTATGTAAGAAGTACAGAATTTTTTTTTTTTGAGTGAGGGTCATGCAAAACGAAACCTGGCTTGCTCCTTGCCTTGCACAAAGGATGAATAACAGAGTCACAAATTGAACATGATTGTGGCACTGAGGAATGTGTTGGCGCTAATAGTGGCCATGATTGCGGCAATGTGAAACCTGGGTCCCATTTGTCCACCCGACCCCATTTGTCCACAAAGTTTCGGCCATGGTTTTATGTGCATTATCTGGATCCTATTTTGTCCGCAGGCCTATCGTCCAGCCTGCCATAACAGACAGTTGGAATCCTTTGTCGGGTATTTGATGGACAGACAGTTTGCGCCCTGTGGTTTGCAAACAATGAACTGCGATGTTGGTATATATCGTGCTTGCAAGGGTGTGAGGCGGTCAACGATCAGTCTCACATCTGTGCCAGCTGTCGTTGATGCTTCTGAGGATTGGAGGCGCTGGCTATCGCCCTACCCCTAGTGCAAGACAGGAAACACTGTCAGCAGGATGTGCACTCCCCCCACTGTCGGACTGGAGGCAAGGTGATTCTTGGTTGCCACAAACCACAGGTTGTGATGGGAAGGTGTTGAATGGCGATATGGTTAGGAAAGCAGCTCTTTCTGGTCCATGAACAGAAGCAGTGAAACTGTCCAAACCTTTGCTCCTCACAGTCAGAAGTGACATGCACAGGTTGCCAGCAAGGATGATATGATGAAAGTATGGTGCTCTTCCCGTCACCCTTTCATGGTCTGCACCCGTCTGCTGGTCTCGAATAGCTATCTCGGTTCCATGAACATCAGTGAAACTGTCCAAACCTTTGTTCCTCACTGTGAACATCTTCTACACCCTGAAATAGCATGCCCAGTTGCTGCTAAGGACGACATGATGAATGTGGACAGAGTCTCAAGAGGAGGAGGAGGGAGGGAGAGAGAGAGAGATAGATAGATAGAGAGAGAGAGAGAGAGAGAGAGAGAGAGAGAGAGAGAGAGAGAGAGAGAGAGAGAGAGAGAGAGTAGTGCAATGAATTGCAGTTGCTTACGCTGGCTGTACACGAAGTTTGTCTATTGTTCTCCTGGTCTGAGCCCTGCGGGAGTTGATCCCGTGACCTACAGCTTGTATGTGTTATTCACTAGCTTTGAGTCCCACTGGGCTTGACCTGCAGTCCACTGTCGCTAGTAGTCTCTATTTGGCAGTCTTAGGCCCTTCAGGCTTGCTGTTTTGTCCTCGTCTGGTCTTCTGGAAACTGGTAGGTCTGTAGGTCTCCCTTGTGTGTGCCCTAGTCTTGGGTCCCCTTGGTCTAGGTTCCCATCTAGATGCAGATAGGCAGATCTTGACTGTTTGGCCGTAGATGTGTGCTGTTTGGACGGTCAGATAGGTTTGCATGGACTGCTGTGTTGTAGGTCGACAAGTTTGAGGTTCTTTTCTCTTTTTTCTTTTGGAAGTGGCGATGGGATTACGCGTCCGGCACTATTTCCAGCACTCAGTCTTCTTCCTCTTCGAAGAGGAACTTGGGCAGCCATAGGTGGGCCTCCCTGCTGCTTGAGGAGGCAGCACCTGTAGGTCTTCCATGTGTTGATGCCACTGCCATCACGTTGCCGTTTGTGTGGTTGGAGAACAGCCACTTTCCTCCTTGAACGGCTTGCTTATTGCTAGTTGCGGCCATACCAGGGCAGCGATCATCTTCTTCATCGAGGCTCACCTTCTTCTTCACGGTGGTTTACGGCGCTGCAACTTGATATCTGGCTCATGCCAGATCAGTGCCTGTACTCACAGGCTTGGTGCAGGATGAGATGCTGTTTTCAACAGTGAGCTATCATGTGAGGCTGTGGGTCGTAGGGAGAAGAGGAAGTGTATTGTCGGGGGCTAATTGGAGGTGGAACAGATTTCATGGTTGAAATTCATTATTATTTGATTCAGTACGTATTTATTCTCTTGTTTATCTTTTTGCTGAGTCTTGCTGTCTTTTTTTGAGTCAGCATTTATTTACAATTTGACAGATTTTCGGTTGGGCAACATTGTGAGCATCACGCTGTTGGAGCAGCATGTGAATCTGGAGCGCTGCTCTAAAGGGAGAGGTAGAGGAGTAGGAGGTAGTGGGAGAGCGGAGGCCGGAGAGGCATAGGAACTGGTTGGAGGATGACTTACCTGGGCTTCATAGCTTGGATTGCCCTCCAGCGACCTGCATCAGAGAGCACCATTCCGCCAGTCAGTGTTGGCAGGACTTCAGCAGCAGCAGGTGAGGGAGAAACAGGAGACTTCTCTTCTTCTTCTTCCTGCCTCCAACCTGCATAGTCACTGTTCTTCTTCTTCTTCCTCCTCTTCTCCTTCACACGCACACACACACACTCACACACACACACACACA